AAAAGAAACGGAATCATCTTAGAACATAAAAGAGAAAATGGATTCTGGGATTACTAGTTCATCGTCAACAGTTTTTTGCATTTGATGTCCAGGTGGTTTTCTCCAACACGCAAGCAAGCCTTTCTTCTTTAGGATTCCAGTAACGTATACTAATCATGAAGATGAAAATATGTGCTTTTGCTCTACGACACGACATGATCAGAACAATCTGCGTGAAATACAATATTGTATGTGTGTGTGTGTGTGTGTGTGTGTGTGTGTGTGTGTGTGTGTGTGTGTGTGTGTGTGTGTGTGTGTGTGTGTGTGTGTATACATACCGACAGTGTGTATGTATATACATACATACATATATATGTATATATTATATATATATATATATATATATATATATATATATATATATATGTGTGTGTGTGTGTGTGTGTGTTGTGTGTGTGTGTGTGTGTGTGTGTAGTGTAAGTGTAAGTGTAGTGTATGTATGTATGTTTATATATATATATATATATATATATATATATATATATATATAAGTTTATATAAATGTGTGTACACACACACACACACACACACACACACACACACACACACACACACACACACACACACACACACACACACACACACACACACACACAATCGATGGAACATGTGTGTATGTGTGTAAACATAGTATGATAGTCTTCATATATTGTCAGGTGTACGACTACACCCGCATCACTCAAAGTTTCTAACAAACAGGCATGATGCTGTTATCAATATTTTTTTTTCTTATTTATAAGACAAACTCTGAGTTCAATAACCACAATTACTCTATTCGATAACATATTTTTCCCCTTTATAAGACAAATCCAGAACTTAACCGAAATTACCCTATCCACGGAAGAACTTTTTCGAGTCATATTAATTAGTTGTTTATTTATATTGTCTTTTTTTCTTAAATGACATTGGATTTTCTTCGTTAATTGTCCATATTGTCCATAAACAGTCAAACCCACACTGTGATTTCAGCAGATTTTTTTTTTCTTTTTGCTTTTTACTTTTTTATACTGGGGCGATGGATTAATTTTTCCACAATAAAAGTAGTCAGAAAAACAGCATATTTACGTTAAGCGTTGGCAACCGACGAGGCCGCCGCAGTTTTTGCTAACATTCACTGGTTGATAACGTAATGATAGTGAGAGATAAAAGTATATTCTCAGCAAGAAAAGAAAATAAATAACGGTCTAATCAGAGAAAATGTCAACCATCTACTTTCATATGCTGTACATGTACAGTACAGTCATCAGTCGCCTGTGGCCAACATGACTCGCAGTTTGGAGGTCTCGATAGTTTCCTTACATGATTTTGCATACTTCTTGCAAATTTTGTCAGCCAATTCTGTATCATAATTCACGAAAAAGACATGAAAATGATGCCGTACAAATACAGCCTCGAGGGCGGGTGAGTAGAAAGTCGAAGTATGTGGACCAATCATGCATAGGAGACACAATTTACCGATGGCTGTGATTGGCCACGAGATTTCTACTACGTGGCCGTCTCCGATTGGCGGAGCCGAGGTGGGAGGGGGGGGGGTGACCTAACGGCTTCAGAGTTTGTCGCTCGTTTTGAGCACCACAAAAACAATGTCTTCCGGTATGTCTTTCGATCCGCAAATGCGTTGTCAAATGGTTGACATTGTTGAAGAGGTCGGCGGAGAATTAATAAAAAACAAAAAGTTAGCTGATAAAACTGGTCCTTATATCCATCTGAAATAGAATTAAACTCATTTCCAGGAGACACGCCTACACACACATTGTATGGTGTTTTTTTCCTTTTTTGGCACTATTTTTTTCTTTCTCTAGGGAACCGGTGTTGAAGGGATTTACGGTCAATTATTCTTCATAACAACTATAGTCACTGAATGGCGAATCCATGTCGTTCTTCCCTCTGTAAGACTAAAGAGAATTCCCGCAGATTTAAACGTGGCTTGTGACATTCCCTCATATCTCCATACCCCACCATCACGACACAGTGTAAGGCTTGGCTGATAGCGTCTCGAACTCACTCATCAAATAAACCATTCTGTGTGTAATAATTATAAATGTGCTCGAGGGAAAAAGAGATATATTTGTTCGATTAAAATTACCACTTAAAAAATATATATAGCCCTATATTATTTAGTTCTTGGTAACTGTACGACTGTTAGTCTAACTGGAAAGTGTGTGTGTCGGTTAGAATTTGGCTTTGCGAAGCTTTTGTTACGAATTACCCAAGAACTATTACAAAAACTGCCGTTTCCAGATATCAGTAATTACCACAGAGACATGATAATTTTACTACATGATATTATATTAGTGGTAATGCCAGTAACAGATGGCACAACCTAGTTTCTCATCAATAATTCTTCATTCGTTATTTAAGAGATTTACTCTGAATTTGAAAAAAAAAATTACATCCAAGTCTGCACGATTTTATTGTAATAGAGAAGGTAATTTTCTTCTAAATTCTCAATTTATTGTCG